TTAAATGACGTAAAGCAGCAACATATTCTGATATTGACTCGTTTGGTTGACGAGTCCTACTGTCAAATCTAGCTCGACATAAAAACTTTGATGGGGTAGGCGCATGGTGGTCTGTTAGCAATTTGCTCAGCTCGTTAAAGCTCTTGGTAGTTAGACTAGCTGGTGCGCATAAGTCTTTTAGTAGCCTAAATTGTTGAGGCCCTATGACTGATAACAAAACAGCTCTCTTTTTGGCTTCTATCGTCACGTTGTTTGCTTCAAGGTAAAAGCTTAACCTATCTAGGTAATCTTGAATGATTTCATCATTCGAATCAAATTCTTTTATTTGGCCATACAGCGCCATTATTCTAGAAATACTTAGCTAATAAGCTCTAGCAAACCTCTTTTTTGCGTAAGTAGGTGCTCTTTCTAGTAGATTTTTATCCTCGTCGCCAGATATAATAGATTGACGATAGAAGCATGTGGTTGTATATAAAACGTTTATTGGGTCTAACTACATAAAGGTAACCAGAGAGAGAGGCGGAAATGACGAGAGACAACTATTTATATATATGTGTGAGCGGGTGAATGGATTATTTATTTTATTTGGTACGAATCTGCGAGTGGATGATCCAATGAGGAGAGGCCACGGGTCCCCCTTCCGTCCGAAGCGGGCAGTATAAATTGACCGCTCGGCTGAATTTTCTTCCTTTTTGACCCGCGGCGAGATGTAGGTCGGGTCAGGTTTCTGCGTGGCGCACCGCACGCGTGGAGTGAGGTTGCTTGGGCAACTTGGCTGGGTGTTTTGTTATATATGAATTGTTTTGTTTGGTGTAAAAAGTTTGTTTTGTATATATTGTTTTGTACGTAATGTTGTCTACGTAATGTATCGTACGTAGTAGTTGTACGTAGTGTTTTGTTTGGTGTGGACTTTTGGATGTCGAGAATGGATGAAGGGAGGTTTCTGTGTGTCAGGGCCTGGACCATCCTAGACATCATAAGGCACCTGTTTGGTATATATTGTTTTCTACGTAATGTCTTTTGTGTGTACTGAAGCTATGAGGTGAGGGCGAAGGCGTTCCTCTTTCCATGAAGTATACATCTGTTTTGTTTTGTTTAGTCGTGTTTTGTTCCGTTGAGTTCTGTTTCTGTTTTGTATGTCTCCAGTGTTCTGTTTTACCTAAATTCTAGTTTTTTTAAGCTTGGTTCCATATTTTTTTGATAAATAAATTTTATTAATTTGTTAAAGTTTTTGTTTTATTTTTAGTAGTTTTATTATTTAGACTAAGGTTAGGTTATTAACCAGTCTGGGTTTAGCCGGGCTTGCACTGACCGGACAGTAGTTAGATAAGCCTAGGGAAGGGTAAGATAGATTTTAAGGTATCCCCCCCCCCTAGCAGGGCTTACAAATTGGTAGCACGAGTGGGGTCAGTGCTTTAGTCTAGTTAAATTTTGTTTTTCTGTTATGGCTAGTGTAGCTTAGTTAAATTTTTTTGTTTTGATAGGCCCTTTTTGGAACCATATGTGTTTAGTTTATGTTTAGTGTAGGAATTGTTTGTTGTTTAAACACCCAGTCAGGTTGGCGGAGAGACGTGCCTCGGCGAGCCTTCAGTGTGCGTGGCTGGACAAGGCACGGTGTGTGGCGCTGGACATGGCGTGTGATGAAGATGGCGGCCTCGTGTGGTCTATACTGGACAACACACACGGGCGTGGCGCGGATCTGGTGTGTACGGCAGACCGGTGAACAACGAACGGCTTATGACGTCAACCCCTTGACCCACAAAGAGGGCTACTGGAAACCCGCCCCACAGGTGTGTCGTGTCGGGCACACGATCATTGGAGGCGGGCAACAGCACGAGAGCCAGTGGGGCAAGGCGGTTGCGTCACCACCTAGCCCAGCCAAGCGGACGCTTCCTACCAACGGAAGGCCTATGACGTAGATTCCTCGACCCACAAAGAGGGCTACTGGACACCCGCCCCACAGGTGTGTCGAAGCGGAGGCACGATCGTTGGGGCGGGTAACAGTCGGAGAGCCAGTGGTGAAAGGCGGTTGATCATCTCCGGACCGACCTAGCGGACGCTCCACTGGTGTGCCTACGGTGACGCAAGACCAGAACACGGTGTGTTGTGTAGTGGACCCAGGTAGACGGGATGGACAGACAACGTGTCCCATTAGTAGCGGGCGGGTCTAGCCTGACCCTTCCCCCTTGCCCTTCCGGATGAAAGGCCGACCGGACTAGTAGCGCGGATCAGCCCTCAGTGAAGGGAACACTATCTTGGTGCCTTGAGTTTTTTAGGAAGCACAGAGACGCAAGATTAATGTTAATGGAAATTGTTTTTTTGCATTCAAGCTTATAGGCTTGGTGTAAGAGATGGGTGCATGTTTTATTTTAAGATTGTTATATGCATTTTTTTGTCCTTACAGGGACTGTAAGATTTTTAAAAGGGGTGAATGTGAGCGGGTGAATGGATTATTTATTTTATTTGGTACGAATCTGCGAGTGGATGATCCAATGAGGAGAGGCCACGGGTCCCCCTTCCGTCCGAAGCGGGCAGTATAAATTGACCGCTCGGCTGAATTTTCTTCCTTTTTGACCCGCGGCGAGATGTAGGTCGGGTCAGGTTTCTGCGTGGCGCACCGCACGCGTGGAGTGAGGTTGCTTGGGCAACTTGGCTGGGTGTTTTGTTATATATGAATTGTTTTGTTTGGTGTAAAAAGTTTGTTTTGTATATATTGTTTTGTACGTAATGTTGTCTACGTAATGTATCGTACGTAGTAGTTGTACGTAGTGTTTTGTTTGGTGTGGACTTTTGGATGTCGAGAATGGATGAAGGGAGGTTTCTGTGTGTCAGGGCCTGGACCATCCTAGACATCATAAGGCACCTGTTTGGTATATATTGTTTTCTACGTAATGTCTTTTGTGTGTACTGAAGCTATGAGGTGAGGGCGAAGGCGTTCCTCTTTCCATGAAGTATACATCTGTTTTGTTTTGTTTAGTCGTGTTTTGTTCCGTTGAGTTCTGTTTCTGTTTTGTATGTCTCCAGTGTTCTGTTTTACCTAAATTCTAGTTTTTTTAAGCTTGGTTCCATATTTTTTTGATAAATAAATTTTATTAATTTGTTAAAGTTTTTGTTTTATTTTTAGTAGTTTTATTATTTAGACTAAGGTTAGGTTATTAACCAGTCTGGGTTTAGCCGGGCTTGCACTGACCGGACAGTAGTTAGATAAGCCTAGGGAAGGGTAAGATAGATTTTAAGGTATCCCCCCCCCCTAGCAGGGCTTACATATGTAAGGGACATCACTCAAGATAACAATATAAATATAATACTAATACAAGAAGAGTGAGTTCCCTTGACTTCACAAGTCTCACTTTATTACAGGGGTCATCCATAAATGAGGTCGCACTTGTAGGGGGAGGGGGGTCCGTAATTGTGTGGCGGTGTGTGATGAGAGATGGGGGTTAGATGGTGTGAAGACACACTTGTGTATTATAAAAAAGCAAAACGTGCTTTAGCCGTTATTTTTGCGTTTTAGAAAACGGTTTTAATTAATGGTAACATGCATTGATCAAAATACTCTATGTTGACAGAGTTCTGACAAGATTTTGGAAAAATATCAATGTCTTAAGAAAAATTCAACGGCTATTTTGAGTGGGGGGGGGGGGGGGGGGGGGGGGTTGGAGGGCTGAGGTGTGGGGTCATATGAGGAGGGGGGTCTGGCTTTTTGTAACGACGTGTGACGGAGATTGTACGAAAACAAAATCACAGGGAAAAAAAAAACACAGAAAAAAGTCACAGGAAAAAAAGTCACAGGGAAAAAAGTCACAAATATATATTTGCATGGGGTTTGTTAATACTCGTGTTTTAAATATTCAGAAAATGCAAATCAACTTGCGATTAATTAAATATAATGAAATGTGTGAAGGTTGTATGCGTATAGTGATAAATATAACACACGTAAATCTTCAGTGTGAAGTATTTACGTTTTAATTCCTTTATACATATAATATTTAATACAATTAAATAAAATGTTCCAACATTCTCTTTTTTCATAATGTTTGGTAAAAATAACTTTAAATTAACGCGAAATGGCATAAAAATGTAGTTAATGTGAATTGCAACCCTGAACTCATTGTAAAAATAGGTCAACTATCTGTACTGCTCACATTTGTGACATTACATAACAAAGGAAAGGATCAAAACAGAAAGCCGACACGGTACAAAGGCTGTCATTGATGCAAAACGTCAACAACAAGCAATATGGTCGGACAATGCCGACTGAGGAGAAGCCGACCAAGGAATGGCCAACGGCAAAAACAAATATGCAAAACACAATGATGTGCCAAAATTTCTTTTGTAATTAATTTTTCTACCGCGTATTTAACTTAATATGTAACAAAATGTGATGTTGCTGTGTAAATTTCGTCAGATTATTTTTACGTATTATTGTAATAAATCATAATGATCTTACGTTTATAAAATGCTACTAAAACAAAAACAACCCACACCAATAAAACATCCACAATTTTACAGTTCTTAACAATTAAATCAAAATATTGCTTTAAAAAAATTTTGTGACTTTTTTCTGTGACTTTTTTCCTAGCAAAAACTGACTTTTTTTCTGTGGTTTTTTTTTTTTTCATATGACTTTTTTCCGTTCACCGTGACGGAGGGGAGGGGGGGGGGTAAAAATCGTCAAAAAAGCGTGACGTCATTTATTATGGATGACCCTCTAACGCTAGAATTTAGTTCTAAGGTTAGTCTAGTCTACAGTAATACCGCGTTTACACTTGCGACATGTATACTAATACTATACACGTCTAGAAAAAAACTTCGCAATAAGTGAGTAGGCTCCCCTATTATCTTAGGCCCTATAGCGAGAATTCTTTTTTTCCTAGAAATGTACAGTATACATGTCGCAAGTGTAAACGCGGTATAACAGTCTACTACAGGAAGCTGCTGCTTCTCTTATAAAGAAACGAAAAAGTGACCTTTGTTGTTTCTGAAGGTAAACTGTTAAAAATATCCTAGAATCTAGATCTAGAAAATGTTAGATCTAGGGTTAGGGTTAGGATCTATCTAGATCCTAGATAAATATATATTCCACACCCTCGTCTAACGTTCAGGCTATTTATTACTCATATGCTACTAGATTAGATCTAGATATCTAGATCTGGTAATCTATCGTTTTGGGTACGTAAAATCGCCCGCGGCTATTAATGTACGAAAACGTTACCTCAATGTCAAGGCTGTAATAGAAGTATATTGACGATTGTGATATGTTTGTATCAAATATTATAGATAAATGAATAATAAACCTAAATCAATGGCTAAATAATAATATATCAATATAGGCCTGAAATTAACTTAAACAGCAGTGTCTTCAAGCAAGATTTGCTAGATCTATAATAAACAGCAGCCATTTGTAAAATAGAGTGACTTCCCCCTGAATCTCGCGCTATAAGTCTATAAAAATAGAACTTTAACAAGATGGCTGCTATAGTAAATGAGCATGGTTGCATCTGTTGGAAACATCGCTGGTGTTCATTTATTACTGAAAAGTTTTAATTCAATTAGGCTTGTCGGTATCGGCCGAGATAGCGGTAAAAACATGACCCGAAATCTCCCATTACTTTCTGATACCGGGCGCACGAGATTTGGTTTTGCATACTAATAAGTTTTTAATTTATGGTAATTAATTAAGTTTAAAAGGTCATTTCCTAATGTTAAATGAAAAGTAGAATGTTTTGTCCAGTTGTTTTGATGGCTTAGCGATCTGATTGCATGCTGTCTCGGCTTTGGTCTTACCGCGGTATAAAGGTTAACTTCAAATGCTTTAAAAGCGCGATTTTTGAAAAGTTTCCATTTAGATAATGAAAGTTTCCAAAGCAGATACATCCCATTTTTATAGAAATGATATTTATTTTTGGATATTTTGACTTAAACATTAGTAAATACTCATTTGAAAGTAGTCACCGTAAGTAGGTCACGTTGCCCACATTGACTCCAATGTTATATTTCTTCATCCCGATCTGCCGGCTTTTAGTTTTGATACACTAACAACAGTATTCTAATGTAATGTACAAACAAATCTCCTACTTGTAGTGTTAAACATATGTTAATATACCTGTCTTTCATTTTTTCAACTCTGGTTCTAGTTTTGCTTGAAGTAAAATTTTGCTGAGTCAGACATAGGCCATAGGTTACCTGTCTGTTGCTAGAATACACTACACTAGCAATGTGCTAACTGTAATTTTAAGTATTCAAGTTCTACTTACCCTTACTTACAGTTATATTTATATGCTGAAAATCAGAATTCATACACAATACACACATAAAAACATTGATCAGATAACTTCAGTTCACTTTTAACAAAATGGCTTAAAGATAGACACTACTTCACCTGCCCAAAATAATAAGGCAATTATATGCACATTACAGTGTTCAAGTCATTTACTTTAGATTGCTAACTATGTAGTTCTTTCATTCACTGTATTTATATAAAGCATTGCTTTAGAAACTTTTTCATATTTGCGCAGCACAGTTTTATAACATAATGTCTTAAAGATGGACTCTACTTCACCTGCCCAAAATAATGGGGCAGTTATATGCACATTTCAGTGTTCAAGTCATTTACTTTAGATTGCTAACTTTGTAGTCCTTTCATTCACTGTAAAACATTGCTTTAGAAACATTTTCATATTTGCGCAGCACAGTTTTTTTGGGGTTATGGAAGGAAGCCAACACAAAAATATACTTCTGTATTATTTTTATTTATTTCAACAGCATATACAAGTTCTATATATCATTCTAGCTAAACTCTGCAAATATGAACAAAATACAACTGCAAGTAAAATAACTATGCTCAATTTATTCAGGCATACCATGACTTGTCACAATTGGCCAATGCAAAAGCAAGGGGATTCCACCCCTCACAAAAAAATTCGCTAAAAAAAAACTATTTGAGCTAGACAGAAAATCTTTTTTGTTTTGTTTTCATATTGTTGAGCTCTACAAGAATATGTAATTTTTATTTTTATATGATGATTAGTGTTTTTTTACCTAAATCCCTAATTCAATTGTTTAAAAACAGGTACATAAATGAAACAAGGAAACATTTTTGTATTTTTCAAAACATAAATCCTCCTCAAAATGTGAAATAAATATTAAAATGTATTGAGTCACCTGTTTTCACATTACTAGTCGCGGGTGATTTTACGTACCTAAAATGATAGATTACCCTAGATCTAGATCTTAAAAATAACAAGGGGAAATTATTAGGTAATCTATCGTTTTGGCTTGGGTACGTAAAATCGCCCGCAACTAGATTCTAAATCTAGATCTAGTAATGTGAAAAACAGGCGACTCCTTAAATTTTAATAATTTCACATTTTGAGGAGGATTTAATCAACTATTCCGCACCATTATAGACATTGGGTGCGCAATGGTTTTAGTTATGAAACTCAATTGTAAATTTTTAAAATTAAAATACTGGGAAAAAAATGCGTGAATTGATAAAGTGATATATGGTAGGTAAACACGGATATTTTAAATATTGCCTATTTTTTATTGTATATTATTTATTATTATTCTATCTTTCGGTTTGCGGACAAGCTGGGGTTTTATAAGAGAGGCGTAGCTAGGGGGGGGGGGGGGTTGGAAATCGAAAGTTTTACGGAGGGGGAGGGGGGTAGGGTGCAAATCGAAAGTTTTAGGGGGTGCAAATCAAAAGTTTGAGCGGGGGGGAATTTCAAATCAAAAGTGGTGCAAATCGAAAGTCTGAGGGGAATGCAAATCAAAAGTTTAAGGGGGTGGGGTGGAAATTGAAATTTTGAGGGGAGGGGGTGCAAATCGTAAGTTTGAGGGAGGGTCAAATCGAAAGTTTGTCCCCGGGCGCCGGAAAGGGTCGCTAGGCCTCTGTTTTGTAGTCATTCACTGTGTCACTCGGAAAGGGCGCGATTTGGCGCTACGGGCTAGACTGTGAGCACTATGCCTTTCTGATTGCATTTAAATTGTGTTTATGTTATGAGTGTTGTGTTCGTTTTTTCGTTTTTTTTTTTTTTTTTTTTTTTTTCGTTCCTTCGTTTGTGTTGTGTTTAGTTTTGTTCTGTTCCAAAGTTGGTATATTTAAAAATGATTTACCGTGGCGGAGCACGGGATACAGCTAGTATTGATATATTTAGCCATTGATTTAGGTTTATTATTCATTTATCTATAATATTTGACACAAATATATCACAATATACTTGAATATACTTCTATTAAAGCCTTGACAATGAGGTAACTTTTTCGTACATTACTAGCCGTGGGCGATTTTACGTACCCAAAACGATAGATTACCGAATCTAGATCTATACATTTATTTACAACCCCAACCCTCTTCTCTAGACTAGAGTAATAGTAGTAGTAGAGAGTCTAGACGCCTAACCCTAATTTCTAACTATAAAATGAGTAAAGATTACTAGATCTAGATCTATACTATATACTAATAACTTAACTTACAACCTAACACACCAATTTCATTGGTAGCTAAAATCATCAGGAAAAGGTGATTGCTCAGTGACTGGCATTGCAACATCACATGAGAGATGATTCACGATAGCCATATCCTAAAAATAAACCAGCTACTAGACTTTCTATATTTCGATCTAAAACTAGAATTCTAAATCTATCTAGAACTCTAGGTCGATGTGCAGCTAGATTCTAGAATCTAGTCTAAATCTAGAATCTAGAATAGATCTTTATCATAAAGTAAATTTTAATCTACGTACTAACTTTGACTAACAGTGACTCCTCCAACGTGTCTTGTGTGTGGAGGGGGGAAATTAATACCGGTAATTTTTAATAGCATAAATAATGGTGTGGTTACAACCTGCAGAGTGTTGTTGTTTTTTTCCTCAGAATTTTTTTTTTTATCTAGCCTATTGTTTCCAAAACACTATTTGCTAAATCTAGGACCAAGGATAAATAAGTTTAGGCTACTCAACAACAGCAGACCTAAATTAGTAAAATACTTTATTATTATTCTATTTAAGTATTAACTCTCTCTAATGCCTAATTCATATGACTAATAGTAATAATTTAATTGAAAACAATACAATTAGATCATGAACAAATAGGTTGAGTGTTGGAAAAAATGATTTCCTCATGTTAATCAATTATTTTAATAATATCAAGTGTTGGGGAGTGGGTAGAAAAATCATTTTTTCTATCAATTTGGCTAGAGAAAGTTCAATATAAACATTAGCTCAATTGCCTAAAATAAATGTCATTATACTTAACTTATAATGAGGGTACACATGTTGCATCATTTTATTAATTAGTCACTCACATCTGTATAGTTTTGAATATTTCAACAAAAGTTTTGGAAAAAGTCTGGAATTTCATTTTCAAAATATTCTATGAACCCTGAGAGTACATGTGTACCACCTTTTATAGTTTAGGCCTACTAAAATTTCTAAACAAGATAATGTGCTTTATGTGCATTGGGGTGGGGTGGAACTGTAGAGTAGCACATTAGGGGGTAGATATGGGTCTAAAAATATTTTTAAACAAATCTTATTATATACACAATACTTTAGATATTAATTTTTGATTGAAGATTGGTACAGAGATTGCCACTAAAGGACTATGTAGAATATAATAATGTGAACATAATATGAACCAAATGTCTAAAAAAAAAGTAATAAAATTATTGTCTATTTTAAAATCCTGTGCAACATTAAGTTTCAGGGTTTTATAAATTTCAAATTTTGGTTTCGGGGTTGGTAAAATTTGGGGATTGATTTTCAGGATTCAATTGAAATATCTATATATATATAATTCTCTTCTTGGAGATGCTAGAAAACAAGCTGTAACCGCGCTCCCTATCACCCCACCCCTACATGGTCTGTTGAGCTGTGGTTCACGCTAAATGTTTACAGTAATCGTAGAGCCGGGTTTAGTGACGGCTATTAGGGGCAGATAATGTAGTTTGAAACGATGTTAAACTTAGGGGAGGTAACTAAGAGGAGGCTGCTTTCACAGGGGAGGGGGGGGGGGTGTAGGTTAGGGGTTGGGGGAAAGGAGGGTGGGGGTAGTATCGTCCTAAGCGACCTACTGATAGTGTTTTAAAGCAAATATTTTCAGTGGCAGCATTGGTACTGTCGAATTCACAAATTATGAATTACTGAAATGTAGAAAATAACTAAATAAAAAATAGCGGCGTATGATACACCGCGGGTCGGCTCGTAATGTATAAAAAACATGCATTTGATTTTCCATATGTTGTATAATATGTCCTCTATACAATGCTTTTTCAGTATAGCAATCACAAATTAAGCTTAGGGTTGATAAAAGTCAGTTTCCAACTTCAGGTTGGTTTTCTCTTGATTGAATTTTAAAATAAAATTGTCTTCACTTTTAATGACATAATGAAAGAAAGGGGGAAAATATGTAGGTAACTGGCATGTTTTGGCATCAGGGCCTGTATATCTTGAGTTTAAGTTGAATACTAACATTATATAATGTGCTCTTTTTATAGTGTGAGATGGCACTCCCAGTTTTTCACACAGCCTTTACTGATGCAACAGCTGATTGGACTGGCTACGGCACTAGACGCGGCCCTTGTAATATATATTATGAGGATTTCAAGAAATGTATCAGTGTTGTCCCCTACCCTAAAGCGTCCTTTGTTTGTGACAAATTTCGAGCTGATTTTGCAGAATGTGCTATCAGAGACAAGCAGGTATGTGGTGTATTGAACAGTACAATATAATAATATAACTTGGAGCTGCCTTTGCTATCAAACTGAAGCAGGTATGGGTTGTGTATTGAATCATTCAATATCGTTAAAGCACATGTAAACATCTCATTGGTGTTTTCTCAAAGATTTTTATAAAGTTGCATAGAATATTGATAGCAATAGGTATGTTTAACTTTTTTTTAAAATGGTCCCAGAGCTTTTTTAAAAGTTGAAATCTTAAGTTTGAAACACATTTAATCAGAAGAGTGCAGGGCTTAACAACCTGTCAAAAATGTGTTTTTTTTTTAATTACAAGAAATAAACTATGAAACCTACACTAGATCTGACTATATCAAAATACAGAATAAGCATAGCTCTAAACAGGTAAACAGTCTTAGTGTCGTAACTTATTTAGACCTGTATGCGATCCAGTGCTGGCTGGAACAGTGTAAGGGTCCCATAATGAAAACATTTTTTTTTGTCAAAATAATTTTTAGTCTCCAGAACACAGGTTCCCAAACTTTTTCGAGTGGCAACCCCTTTTTATACAAAGTAAGTGACCCGCGATCCCCATAGAATAAAAAAGTCAAAATTAGTAAGGAAATTAATAAACACCAAAATAAGAATTTTTAGTATAATTTTAATTATTTTATTTAACTGTTTCAATGAGATGGGTGAAATTGCATGCTGTTAACTAGCCTTGAAATTCGCAGTTGAATTTTTGTTAGTGCCAAACTCATGTCATTCTCAACATTTAATTTCTTTGTTTTGTTTTAATTGGAGAAGTGTTGAAAATCCCCTATCGCAAAGATATGTAGACACAAAAGGAACTAAAACTTGAAAAACAGTCAATGACATGGTTGGGTAGGAATGGTGCATACTACTCCAAAATAGTGTGAGCAGGTTTTTTTAAACGTGGTACGTGCCACAGAATCATTCAGCAAATCCAAGAATTCATCTTTTAATACATCAGAAATGCTGGCAACATCAATGCTGCATCTTCAGGCTCAGGAAAATAACGCTGCAATTGGTTTTCAAGAGATTCAAGATGTCCAGACATCTCATCTGTCAAATTTTTATTTATCTCACAATCAGATTGCAGTGTCTCAAACATGGCAATATTTCAAAGATTTATTTTTCTTCGCCAAGGTTACAGCTTTGATAAAAATTCCACGAAATAATCATGAAAAGAGATAATATTTGTTTCTTTTCCCTGACTCCTCAGGTTAATCTGATTTTGCTGTTCGAATATATCTGATAGGTATGCTACTCTCTCCAACCAGTCTTAAAATATTTTTTTCCCTTGATTTCGCCGTTCAATTCAAAAACACGATTCACAACATTTCCTTTTGACAGCCAGCTTACTATAGTGAAGAAAAGCAGAATTTCGTGATCAGAATTAATGTCATTGCACAGATCTTTAAACAGAGGGTATTTAGGGCTCCAGATTTAATATATGTAAGCCCTAACAGGGGTGATAACTAATATCTTCTATCCTAGGCTTATCTTAATAAACTATCCGGTCAGTGCAAGCGTGGTAAAACCCACGGTGGTTAAACCCTAACTTTAGTCTTATGCTAAAAATAAAACAAATAAACCGGGAGTGATCTCCCCTAAACTTTCTCGAATATTCTAATATAAAACTACGAGGGATGGCAACTCAGGACGTAAACAATATTTGTAATCCATTTTTAATTACTTAAACTTTTTATAATAGAATAAAATCTTGTAAAAAAAAAAGGAATTGCACACCAAGTGAACGCCTAATAAAATGTGCATAGTAGTGCGGGATATTATTAGTACTTAATAAATTTACCTTAGTTTTTTGAGAAATCGGAAATAGTGTAAATTAGTACTTCCGGTCAACGGAAATTACTCAAAATTTGACAGAAGGTAGAGAATTAGATCTTTTACTTACATGTGAAATTTCATTTTTATCTATCTGAAATAGTACTCAAGTTATAGGCTTTTGAAAAATTCAAAGTAGAAAAAGTACCACTTCCGGTTATCGGAAATCGCTCAAAAGTTGATCAGGATCTACGATTTTGATAAAATACTTATAGATCTATATGAAATTTCATCAACCTAGCTGTAACGGTACTCAAGTTATCGTGTTTACACACGGACACACAGACAACGGACAGAATTGCAAAGTCCAGTTTTTACGACTCGATAACGCATAAAACGCCAAAATGTTTATATATTTGTATTTATAATTTTTGCCTGATTAAAATAAGTCCCCTATACTCCGGATGTGATGAAGGACTGAGGAGTAAAACGGTGAAAACTGTCAAAATTTCATGTTATTTTTTTGCACGATTACAATACTTTCTCTATACTTCGTATGTACGAGAAAGTAAAAAAAGGCTAATAATTTATAGAATTTATTTTACAAAACACATGGAACCAAAACTTACTATAAAATAATTCAAGATTACAAAATAAAGCTAAAAGCTACTAAACTAAATACAACAAAACATAACCAAACAAAACAACTAGACTAAACACCCAATCCGACTACAAACCTGAAAAGAGAACAAATACACGAAAATCATATAAAATATCAAATGGTTATAATCGGTTATATACAAGGCAATGACACCCCATTGCAAATAAAATGGATATTGTACAAATTGAACCTTCCAATAAAGGGTGACAAGATTTTAATCTGAATTAACCACCCACAAGTAGTTCACACAGAACAAACTAAAAAAAAACAACAACAAAAACAACCTGGAATGTAATTACCAGGACACTGAGCACTAAACTACTAGATCTAGCTCAAAGGACACAGTTATCAGCCTCAACATAAGGCTCACGTAAAATAGAATACATACTATTAACTTCCCTGCTCATCTATATCGACTGGAATAAACTTAACACTCCCCTGGGGACCAACAAAGATCACCCCAAGAAGTGAAAGTTGACTACTATATAGAATGGCATAAAAACGGTATTAAACCACTCACAAGTAAAATAACCCAACACAACAGTAAGGAATGAACCATAAAACTGTGGGTCAAGCATCAATAAACCCTATCCCTTGCTTAACACATACTAGGCCGTTCGATTCAAAGCCATCTCACGACTCATGCGCTTACAAAAAATGGCGACCAGTTTCGCTTTAACTATTCGGTACAGGGATAAAACTAATTATTACGAAGCCATTGTCAATTTTAGAAATCGGAACTATCCGTTTCTATTTAAGTCAGTTATTTAAGCATTGTGTTATCTAATATATAAAGTTCAATTCTGTATGTATGTAACCAAGGATTACAAAGAAAAAATAATACTTCTATGGCGTCAAGTGTTAAATGTCTTAAAGTGCTCATTGTCTAAATTCATAGTTTAAAAAATTAATATTGAAAGTTTTGTAAAACAATTTTCACGTTTCAAACTGATAGTAATAATTGTATTATGTCTGAAAATTATGTATACTTAGTCCTTTAGCACTTATTTATATTACTTCCCTTGATAATGTAGGAAAATACTATTACTTCCCTTTAAAAAACATGACATCAGGTGGAAAAGAATTTATTATTTATTTTGTTTTGGTGTTGGAATAAAATAATTACATAATTAGCGGGGATTGATCAAGTGCAATGTTGTAGGTATTTTTAATACTGCCTTTTATTTATTCTATAATACAATGAACGTATTGTTTACTAATTAAAAAAAAAAATCAATAACAGTTAAAAAGCCAGCTCCTAAATGTCCCATATCCCGTGAGCGCTATGGTACATAATTTCGCTTTAAACATTGCGATAGACTATGGATAAGAAAGGTTACTATAGTCTTTAAATGAATCAAATCCAGGCGTCCTCCGGCACCCTGACAGGGTGCTATTTGGCGCCCCGGGCCTTGCCGTGTTTGCTGTGGCGCTTACGTACGTTTAAGTAAGTGAGTGCAATAGCACATGGATACGTTGGGGTACTATAGTCGTTTACTAAGCTGAGACAGGCGGTTCCGCCGGCACCCCAGCATGGTGCGATTTGGCGCCACGGGCTAGACTGATTACTTTGCGTTTATGTTTGTGTTTTGTTTGGGTTAAGTTTGAATTTGCGTTTGTGGTTAGGTTTGTGTTTGGATTTGGTTTGTTTTCGTTTGCTTTTTTGTTTGTGGTTGGGTTTGCGTTTGTGGTTGTGTTTGCGTTTTGTCTTGTTTTGTTTTAGTTGGTTGTGGTTAGGTTGTTTTTAGTTTTGGTTTGTTGTAGTTAGGGTGGGCAATGTCGGGTATATGCTGATTACTAAACACACTTCATGGTCCTTTAAAGATAGGTTTTTCACAGAGGCCAGTGCAGGGCCTGGCCGGGACGGCTAGTGTAACTCTATGTCCGAACAACTAAAACTATAGTTTTCATGAATTTTACAAGTCTACATCTCCTTTCATGTCCAAATGTTTAGATTATGATATTTTATTTTGTGTGTGTAGATATTTACAGAAACACGTGTCAGTAAAAATAGTAAAATGACCCGGACTAAAAAAAATAAATCATAATTTACAGTTATAATTACAGTTTGGTCCGTTAGTGCCTGATGTCGCGAATATGTCCAAATTTCAAAACAACTATATACTTCAAATTCAGTGTAGGTATGATGAGAGAAAATCAGCACAAATAATTTTTTACATACTGGGAACAGGGATTAAGGGGTTAAGCCGTTTAAAATCAGAACAATTAAAATTTCTAGAATATTCACTGATTTTGTAGTTAGCTTTGTTCTGTTTGTAGTATGTATTATAGTTTTATTTTGTGCTTATCATACATGTTTGTATTTTTTGTTTAATATCTTGATAGATTTGTTTTGCCTTAATTATAGTTATGCATAAATAGGCCTTTGTGTGGGGTATTAAATAATTGGACATAAAATGTGTGATTTCAGATGGCACGTGTGAAAGCAATGACAGATGAAAGGAAACGCCAGGGCAGACAGCCATTACCTCCAACACCCCTATACTGTCTTGATAAAAAACATTAATCTTGTGGCGGATAAAAATAGATTTCAAAGTAGTTTGATTTGTACATGTTGAATTTTTGAAGCTCTTGTGGCACTATGTCTACTGGGGCTGTATTACAAATAAAAGTAAACATTACTTGTTTGAATTTCTTTTTTTTTACTCAGTTTCATACGGTGATTCATACCCTACCAGGCCTTAAAAAAAGAAAAGGTATATTTTTTCTATCTCTCAGTTTTATTACGGCAGTGCTAATTTCGGCGAACGATGAGGACGTTACAAGATCATCTCTCATCTGGTTGAGGATATATTTATCCTCTTCCACTTGAGAGGAAATAACTTTATTTTCTCGACAGGATGTGAGATTATATACGCGCTTGCATATTTCGTCTTGAGTATGAAGAAATTGAGTAAAAACTGACATTAAAATGTAGGTCTAAGCGTCAAATTTCATTAATTCAAATAAAAAATCTAAACAAAAAAAATAATTAATTATTATATTATTTTCTAAAACAATCCCCAACCCATCTACACAAACCCTAACGCTACACCCTAACCTAAGTAAGATCTATTTTAACGCGTTAAAAAATATTCAAGTCATTTGCACGAATAACTATAAAAAAATAAACCAGGAGTGATCTCCCCTAAACTTTCTCGAATATTCTTATATAAAATAACAGGGGATGGGAACTCGGGCTATAGACATGATTTTTAATCCATTTTAAATACTTAATGTTTTAAAAATAGAATAAAATCACTTAGATAAAAGAATTGCACACCAAGTGAACGCCAAATAAAAAAGTGCATAATAGTAATAGTGCTCAATATTATTAGTACTTTAAAAATTTACATTAGTTTTTTGAGAATTCGGAAATAGTGTAAATTAGTACTCCCGGTCAACGGAAATTACTCAAAATTTAACAGAAGGTAGAGAATTAGATCTTTTACTTACATGTGAAATTTCATTTATCTATCTGAAATAGTACTCAAGTTATAGGCTTTTGAAAAATTCAAAGTAGGAAAAGTACCACTTCCGGTTATCGGAAATAGCTCAAAAGTTGACACGGATCTACGATTTTGATAAAATACTTATAGATCTACATGAAATTTCATCAACCTATCTGTAACGGTAATCAAGTAATCGTGTTTACACACGGACAGACACACAGACAAGATTTCAAAATTATTATTTTTTCCGTATCAGTGAGGTGTAAAACGACATTTGTAAAAATCTCGATTTTTTTATTTGCACGATTACAAGACTTTCTCTATACTTCGTATATACGAGAAAGTAAAAAAGTTAAAAATATGTATGCGCATAAATAAAAGCTAAATATAGCGATCAGATGTGAGAGGATCTACAGCTTTTATTATTAATACGGATGGAACTGTGTAGCATCCATCTCTGATTCTGAATGCCACTGTACATTATGGAAGAACTGGAGGCTTTTAATGGATTTAAAAAAAAATAACTATGCAGCAAAAATAAAAGTTGATTTCCATTTTGTTTATATATATATATATATGTATATATATATATATATATATATATATATATATATATATATATATATATATATATATATATATATATATATATATATGGTTCCCAGAAAGAACCGCAACGGAAAAAAGCGCAAAACAAAAAGCGCAACGGAAAAAAGCGCACACGGAAAAGCTAAAGCGCAAACAGAAAAAAAGCGCACACAGAAAAAAGCACAAACAGAAAAAAGCGAACACGGAAAAAAGCGCAAACAGAAAAAAGCGCACACGGAAAAAAGCGTAAACGGAAAAAAGCGCAAACGGAAAAAAGCGCAAACAGAAAAAGCGCAAACAGAAAAAAGCGCACACAGAAAAAAGCGCAAACGGAAAAAAGTGCACACAGAAAAAAGCGCACACAGAAAAAGCGCAAACAGAAAAAAGAGCAAAGAGAAAAAAGCGCACACATAAAAAAGCGCAAACGGAAAAAAGCGCAAACAGAAAAAAGCGCAAAAAAAGAAAAAAAACGCAAACAGAAAAAGCACGCACAGAAAAGTGTGCACACCGAAAAATGCGCAAAGAGCAATTTTCGCACAAAGACCTATAAGGACTAGATGACACATTTATACATGATTGTTAGGGCTGCTGTGAGAGTGTTGTGTTTGACCTGACGCGATATACTACCACTTAAAGCATACCACTAACATGTGCATTCATATCACCACGATACAGGCGATAATCGCTTGACACAACGTCTATTTTTTTCTTGTTCACTATTTATTCAACGACTATTCTCGTATAAATAAACATAAAACTATCCTTGATATTGGCATTACACGGAGTATCTCGTACATGCTCCCTAGTCCCAAGCTTGCATTCTATAACAACCCGTTTCTATCGCAAAACTTCACTCTCTTTCTTCCGAGTCATCAAACATGCATTCGCTATATCTCTCGAACCAACATTCATCTGCACAAAAATACCCTGATAAAACACACATCATAATCATGATGTACCTATATCTACCTCCCTACCAACCAACCTACCTACCTACCCAATATAACATATAACCTCATATATATACATATACATACATATATATATATATATATATATATATATATATATATATATATATATATATATATATATATACGGGTAGGTAGGTGGGTTAGTTGGTGGGTTCGTGGGTAGGTAGATTGTTTGGTGGTTTTCTGTGACTGATCTAAGGCAGCCTCATAGTGATTCCATGTTGATATGGGAAATAAAGGATCTCTACCAACAACCCCTTCAATATATGTGGAAAAAAAATAAGTTAAAATGTCACTATTTTTTATAGCTTGCTTCATTTGGGAAAGTTCCTGCTAATCTGTCAAATATATCCCTTACATCATTGACTGGCACAAATGCCAAAGCTGCAAGAGATTTTAAGGTCAGCTTGACTTCTATGTTGCTTTCATATTCACTCTTTAAGCCGACACAGTTGATCTTTCTCAGTAGGCTTTGACAGAGATGAAAATAGCATCCTTTAATAGCAGCATCTGGGAAAGCAATTTGTGCTGCATTCATGCATGCTTTTTCAAAGTCAACCAAAACTTTTTGTTGAGCTATGTTTGGAACTAATTCTTTCAGTATTTCCAACATCCTCATGTAAGTTTCTTGATTCTTTTTTAGAAGTAAAAAGTAAACACATGGTGCGTATGAGTTTCCTATTTTGGCATGCCAAGTGTAGAGTTGGTAGAATACGGCTGGTACTTTGTCAAATGTTCCATCACCATAAATGGTATCTTTGCAGAGTTCTAAAAGAAGCTCTCGATCTCCTAGTGCCAGAATTCTTTCTGGATCATTTGACCCAGTGTCATAGAGAACAAAAGATGTATATTTATCTGGTATGTCAAAGCTGGGTGACGTAGGATTAATTATTATTCTGCTGGTTTTGTGGTAATTTAGGCTTCTAGACAGTGATGATGGCTTAGGTATGTGGGCTAGCACATCATTGCTGATTCCTGTTAAAGCTTCACCAATAACATTACGAGGGGTTGTGTGAGGGTGGGGATTTTAAGAAGGCGGAACGAATGATTCCAACAACACACAGTTCAAGTTCAACTATAATTGTTCTTTATTAAAATGATATATATGTTCAAGTTTCTACCTAACTGATCTACACTGTACTATTTACTTCTACTACTGACTGTTCATACCACATGCTACCTACTACTACGCACTCCCATGACCAATCCTAACACTAACCAACTGTTCCGTAGCTCTGCAAATTACAACCGTCTCTAACCACTACCTAACACCTTCTCTCCTCGCTATCTACATATCAACCCGCTAATCTCTCTACTGCCCCACGCCTCAGTGGTCAGCTGACCGTCCCACGTGACCGGTCAGCCCTGTGCGCCCATTGGCCTCTCTAACCAACCAACTAGGCCTATAGTCTGTTTCTGCTAACCTATATCTGCTAAACATGTCTGACGTAATCTTGCGTCATCACATATCTCCCTCCCTTTCTGTAGCTGACAAATTATATTTTTCAGCGTCTACTACTAATCTAATACATCAACAACTATCTATCTTACTACTATATTCTATCCCTAACATCAATCATGTAAATCAAATACAAAATGGGACAGCACAGTTTACAAAAACATAAAATCTTGTGTCTGTGTTCCTGAAAAAAAATGTCATTGTTTTCGTTCTTGTGTAGGTATCCTGACGTCTGTGGTGTCTCTGCTTGATAATGTATGTCTATGTTTCATGGTATGTGTGAATCCAATCATGTGCAACTCAGTTCTGGCTAGGTTGTCGTGTACTGGCCTTGAGCCAATCTTAGTGGTAATGTGTAACTGGTTGAAAGGCTCAGCGAGCAGTGTAACTGAGTGTATGTGTAAGTTATGTAATTGTTGGCGTTCCTCTGTGGTGGGTGGGTTGTGGCGAGTTTTGATGTAAATTCCCGTGAGGCGGGTGTAGGCGTAACTTTCGTTGGTCAATGTGATGACGCAACAAACTCAACGCTGGTTGAGACGTCCACGTAGAGTGGTTATACGATGAACTGGAGCTGTCTGATGCGGTGGCGAACAATGACGTAACGTTCCGACGCTGGGAACTTGGACGATGGGTCTTCTACCCTTTGTATGTGCCGACGTAGGTGTACGTAGCTGGCGGTCTGTTATTCAACCCCAGTGCCGGGGCGAAGCGGTGGCGATGCGTCCGCTGTCTTCACCAGGGCAATTCTCTGTTCAGCAGGGCTGTCCGCTGTCCAGGTAATTCAACGTAATCAGGGCTTCAGGTGGCGGCATTCTTTAAAGTGTCGGCTTCATTTCGTCTTATTCTGAACAAGCGCTGGTGGGTCTGAAATTGTATTACGAGACCATGAGCAATGGCTTTATGTGACCAATTTAGTGCCCGCGCAGACAAGTATTCAGACAGAGGTACCTTCCATTAAAAAAAAACCTCAATCCCAAATTTAAACGTGCTGAACATTTGTCTGGCGGTACATACAGCATACAAAAATAACATTACAAAAAATGACCAAATACAAAAAAATCAGTACACTCTAATCTAACAGCAATCTGTAAAGCCTAATAAACTCAATAGACGTAAACACTACTAGAGCATAGAAATAGCTTCACAAAAAGAATAGACATGTGAGTGTGTATCGTGCCATATCAACACGTGATCATATAGTGGAGCAGCTCTCAGTATCTGACTTCTGACGAAAAACTGGCTGGCTTGACTTAATGACTGACTTCACTTTTGACTTCAGTAACTTGACTTATTTCACTTTGACTTCAGTAACTCGACTGACTTCAGTAACTTGACTTATTTCACTTCGACTTCAGTAACTCGACTGACTTCAATTTAACGACTGATTCCACTTGACGACTTCAATTACTTCAACTTGACGACTAACTTCACTTTGAAGACTAACTTGACCTCGACGACTTCACTTCAATTCAACTTAAAAGACTTCACTGACCGACTTAAACTTCTACGACTTAAACGTCTTCACTTTGACTTCAAAGACTTTTCCTTGACTTCAACGACTTCAATATGACTTCAAAGACTTCACTTTGACTTCAACAACTTCAATATGACTTCAAAGACTTCACTTTGACTTCAAAGACTTCACTATAACTTCGACGATTTCACTTCTTTACTATGACCTCAACGACTTTGATATAACTTCAAAGACTTTTCTTTGACTGCAACATGACTTCAACTACGTCACTATGACATCAACTACGACTTCAACAACTTATTGACTGACTTCAAATAACTTCTTTGACTTCAGTTCAGACTTATACTTCACTGACTTCAATAACACAATTGACTTCAGTTTGACTATACTGACTTCGACTTCAACTATATCGACTTCACGTCGATTTCCTCGACTACTTAGATCAACACAAAAACTCGACTTGACTTCACTTTTATGTCCGTTGTTCAAAATCATTTATGGAGACGGTCCGGGTCACATTCTTGGTCATGGGGTTGATGTTCTACTAGGGCAGTTACGTGTTATCTATGTGTTGTACTTTCCGTTTCACTTATTCTAACGCTAACTCTGCTTTTGTTCTTGACATTTCTTACTATCTTGGCTATCTTGTTTCTTAACCTACTCTCTAAAGATGTTTCAAATTCTTCTCCTGTCTTGTCTAATGGTATGCCCCGTTTATAGCATTGAAACTCTGCCTCCATGGTTGTGTATGTGTGTGTGTGTGTTGAGGAAAGTAAACCAAAACTAAGGCAACAGGGCGTAACAATAGAGTGTATAAGGCAGAAAAACCGCTGGCACAAGCTATCCAGCACGAGTCTAAACCCAAACGTTTAAAAAATTTTGGAAGGTACTTATCTTTTTGGACATGGTGGCTGTTCCCTTGTATTGATAATCCACTCGTTCCGGTTAAAGAAACCTGCTGTTGTGTTGAGTTGAAGGAAGCTGTACACCAGATGTACTCCGTCATGAGTAACCCGATATACCCAGTCTTTCCTGTACTCGACCCGCGCTCCACCAGTTGTGAGGGTGGGGATTTTAAGAGAGGCCGGAACGAATGATTCCAACAACACACAGTTCAAGTTCAACTATAATTGTTCTTTATTAAAATGATATATATGTTCAAGTTTCTACCTAACTGATCTACACTGTACTATTTACTTCTACTACTGACTGTTCATACCACATGCTACCTACTACTACGCACTCCCATGACCAATCCTAACACTAACCAACTGTTCCGTAGCTCTGCAAATTACAACCGTCTCTAACCACTACCTAACACCTTCTCTCCTCGCTATCTACATATCAACCCGCTAATCTCTCTACTGCCCCACGCCTCAGTGGTCAGCTGACCGTCCCACGTGACCGGTCAGCCCTGTGCGCCCATTGGCCTCTCTAACCAACCAACTAGGCCTATAGTCTGTTTCTGCTAACCTATATCTGCTAAACATGTCTGACGTAATCTTGCGTCATCACATATCTCCCTCCCTTTCTGTAGCTGACAAATTATATTTTTCAGCGTCTACTACTAATCTAATACATCAACAACTATCTATCTTACTACTATATTCTATCCCTAACATCAATCATGTAAATCAAATACAAAATGGGACAGCACAGTTTACAAAAACATAAAATCTTGTGTCTGTGTTCCTGAAAAAAAATGTCATTGTTTTCGTTCTTGTGTAGGTATCCTGACGTCTGTGGTGTCTCTGCTTGATAATGTATGTCTATGTTTCATGGTATGTGTGAATCCAATCATGTGCAACTCAGTTCTGGCTAGGTTGTCGTGTACTGGCCTTGAGCCAATCTTAGTGGTAATGTGTAACTGGTTGAAAGGCTCAGCGAGCAGTGTAACTGAGTGTATGTGTAAGTTATGTAATTGTTGGCGTTCCTCTGTGGTGGGTGGGTTGTGGCGAGTTTTGATGTAAATTCCCGTGAGGCGGGTGTAGGCGTAACTTTCGTTGGTCAATGTGATGACGCAACAAACTCAACGCTGGTTGAGACGTCCACGTAGAGTGGTTATACGATGAACTGGAGCTGTCTGATGCGGTGGCGAACAATGACGTAACGTTCCGACGCTGGGAACTTGGACGATGGGTCTTCTACCCTTTGTATGTGCCGACGTAGGTGTACGTAGCTGGCGGTCTGTTATTCAACCCCAGTGCCGGGGCGAAGCGGTGGCGATGCGTCCGCTGTCTTCACCAGGGCAATTCTCTGTTCAGCAGGGCTGTCCGCTGTCCAGGTAATTCAACGTAATCAGGGCTTCAGGTGGCGGCATTCTTTAAAGTGTCGGCTTCATTTCGTCTTATTCTGAACAAGCGCTGGTGGGTCTGAAATTGTATTACGAGACCATGAGCAATGGCTTTATGTGACCAATTTAGTGCCCGCGCAGACAAGTATTCAGACAGAGGTACCTTCCATTAAAAAAAAACCTCAATCCCAAATTTAAACGTGCTGAACATTTGTCTGGCGGTACATACAGCATACAAAAATAACATTACAAAAAATGACCAAATACAAAAAAATCAGTACACTCTAATCTAACAGCAATCTGTAAAGCCTAATAAACTCAATAGACGTAAACACTACTAGAGCATAGAAATAGCTTCACAAAAAGAATAGACATGTGAGTGTGTATCGTGCCATATCAACACGTGATCATATAGTGGAGCAGCTCTCAGTATCTGACTTCTGACGAAAAACTGGCTGGCTTGACTTAATGACTGACTTCACTTTTGACTTCAGTAACTTGACTTATTTCACTTTGACTTCAGTAACTCGACTGACTTCAGTAACTTGACTTATTTCACTTCGACTTCAGTAACTCGACTGACTTCAATTTAACGACTGATTCCACTTGACGACTTCAATTACTTCAACTTGACGACTAACTTCACTTTGAAGACTAACTTGACCTCGACGACTTCACTTCAATTCAACTTAAAAGACTTCACTGACCGACTTAAACTTCTACGACTTAAACGTCTTCACTTTGACTTCAAAGACTTTTCCTTGACTTCAACGACTTCAATATGACTTCAAAGACTTCACTTTGACTTCAACAACTTCAATATGACTTCAAAGACTTCACTTTGACTTCAAAGACTTCACTATAACTTCGACGATTTCACTTCTTTACTATGACCTCAACGACTTTGATATAACTTCAAAGACTTTTCTTTGACTGCAACATGACTTCAACTACGTCACTATGACATCAACTACGACTTCAACAACTTATTGACTGACTTCAAATAACTTCTTTGACTTCAGTTCAGACTTATACTTCACTGACTTCAATAACACAATTGACTTCAGTTTGACTATACTGACTTCGACTATATCGACTTCACGTCGATTTCCTCGACTACTTAGATCAACACAAAAACTCGACTTGACTTCACTTTTATGTCCGTTGTTCAAAATCATTTATGGAGACGGTCCGGGTCACATTCTTGGTCATGGGGTTGATGTTCTACTAGGGCAGTTACGTGTTATCTATGTGTTGTACTTTCCGTTTCACTTATTCTAACGCTAACTCTGCTTTTGTTCTTGACATTTCTTACTATCTTGGCTATCTTGTTTCTTAACCTACTCTCTAAAGATGTTTCAAATTCTTCTCCTGTCTTGTCTAATGGTATGCCCCGTTTATAGCATTGAAACTCTGCCTCCATGGTTGTGTATGTGTGTGTGTGTGTTGAGGAAAGTAAACCAAAACTAAGGCAACAGGGCGTAACAATAGAGTGTATAAGGCAGAAAAACCGCTGGCACAAGCTATCCAGCACGAGTCTAAACCCAAACGTTTAAAAAATTTTGGAAGGTACTTATCTTTTTGGACATGGTGGCTGTTCCCTTGTATTGATAATCCACTCGTTCCGGTTAAAGAAACCTGCTGTTGTGTTGAGTTGAAGGAAGCTGTACACCAGATGTACTCCGTCATGAGTAACCCGATATACCCAGTCTTTCCTGTACTCGACCCGCGCTCCACCAGTTGTGAGGGTGGGGATTTTAAGAGAGGCCGGAACGAATGATTCCAACAACACACAGTTCAAGTTCAACTATAATTGTTCTTTATTAAAATGATATATATGTTCAAGTTTCTACCTAACTGATCTACACTGTACTATTTACTTCTACTACTGACTGTTCATACCACATGCTACCTACTACTACGCACTCCCATGACCAATCCTAACACTAACCAACTGTTCCGTAGCTCTGCAAATTACAACCGTCTCTAACCACTACCTAACACCTTCTCTCCTCGCTATCTACATATCAACCCGCTAATCTCTCTACTGCCCCACGCCTCAGTGGTCAGCTGACCGTCCCACGTGACCGGTCAGCCCTGTGCGCCCATTGGCCTCTCTAACCAACCAACTAGGCCTATAGTCTGTTTCTGCTAACCTATATCTGCTAAACATGTCTGACGTAATCTTGCGTCATCACATATCTCCCTCCCTTTCTGTAGCTGACAAATTATATTTTTCAGCGTCTACTACTAATCTAATACATCAACAACTATCTATCTTACTACTATATTCTATCCCTAACATCAATCATGTAAATCAAATACAAAATGGGACAGCACAGTTTACAAAAACATAAAATCTTGTGTCTGTGTTCCTGAAAAAAAATGTCATTGTTTTCGTTCTTGTGTAGGTATCCTGACGTCTGTGGTGTCTCTGCTTGATAATGTATGTCTATGTTTCATGGTATGTGTGAATCCAATCATGTGCAACTCAGTTCTGGCTAGGTTGTCGTGTACTGGCCTTGAGCCAATCTTAGTGGTAATGTGTAACTGGTTGAAAGGCTCAGCGAGCAGTGTAACTGAGTGTATGTGTAAGTTATGTAATTGTTGGCGTTCCTCTGTGGTGGGTGGGTTGTGGCGAGTTTTGATGTAAATTCCCGTGAGGCGGGTGTAGGCGTAACTTTCGTTGGTCAATGTGATGACGCAACAAACTCAACGCTGGTTGAGACGTCCACGTAGAGTGGTTATACGATGAACTGGAGCTGTCTGATGCGGTGGCGAACAATGACGTAACGTTCCGACGCTGGGAACTTGGACGATGGGTCTTCTACCCTTTGTATGTGCCGACGTAGGTGTACGTAGCTGGCGGTCTGTTATTCAACCCCAGTGCCGGGGCGAAGCGGTGGCGATGCGTCCGCTGTCTTCACCAGGGCAATTCTCTGTTCAGCAGGGCTGTCCGCTGTCCAGGTAATTCAACGTAATCAGGGCTTCAGGTGGCGGCATTCTTTAAAGTGTCGGCTTCATTTCGTCTTATTCTGAACAAGCGCTGGTGGGTCTGAAATTGTATTACGAGACCATGAGCAATGGCTTTATGTGACCAATTTAGTGCCCGCGCAGACAAGTATTCAGACAGAGGTACCTTCCATTAAAAAAAAACCTCAATCCCAAATTTAAACGTGCTGAACATTTGTCTGGCGGTACATACAGCATACAAAAATAACATTACAAAAAATGACCAAATACAAAAAAATCAGTACACTCTAATCTAACAGCAATCTGTAAAGCCTAATAAACTCAATAGACGTAAACACTACTAGAGCATAGAAATAGCTTCACAAAAAGAATAGACATGTGAGTGTGTATCGTGCCATATCAACACGTGATCATATAGTGGAGCAGCTCTCAGTATCTGACTTCTGACGAAAAACTGGCTGGCTTGACTTAATG